CGAAACTACTGTCGCTTTCGCCTTACAAAAGGGACGTATGTATATATCGTCGTCTCAGAAAACGGATGTCGAATGTTACAAAACACGGTTTTGAGAAAATTGACTTTGAAGTTTAAGGTCGAATTAATCCGAAACTGTACGGTAGATTTTTGTAACTTTTGAAGGAGACGTAGTTGGTGTTATTAGTTTTGATTTCCCATATTTTTATATTTAATATCTCTTAACGTTAATGAGAAAATTTACTTTTCATTCCGTATACATTTGTCGTAAGTAGCGTTTACTCACCACTTTGTTTTGTCCACAGAACATACGACAATAGTAAAGTATCTATTTCAACGACGATGGTATAATTTGATGAAAAAAACAGGCATATTTATTAAATAATGATTACTTATTAGAAAAAACATAACAAAAACATAATCATGTATTTAATAAAAAAAATCTGTACATCTCTTATGCTGTAAATATGTTACGAACATACGTTTTCTTTATATAAAAACAAAAAACAATACTTAAATTCAGTCTTTTGTACATTTTTATCTCTTTCATTTCATTGGAGACTCAGTGCAAGCTAAAATTTAAAAATTTAAAATTAGTTACTTAGTTTAATTTTCAATTTTAATTGTATCGTTATAGTAGAGGACCATCCAATTGTCGTAAGTTCAAAGTTTTGCGATACATACGACAAATGTTTTATGATTAAAAAAGGATTACATTTGTATGGGAATTTGTCGTATGTGCCACATACGACAAACGGTTTATGATTAAAAAAAAGGTACGTTTGTATGGGAATTTGTCGTATGTGACGCATTTTCAGCACATACAACAAAAGGCATACCCAATCATTAATATTATGTAACATACGACAAAATGCGCACGAAATATCTCAAAAACTAATGGAGATATAAAAAAATGGATTGCAGAAATCGAAAGAGCATGTCCAACTTAGTAAATCTGCATCAAAATCCCAAAATCGTGATTTTGCACATTCGTCATCCGTTTTCTGAGGCGACGATATGTACATACGTAACAAAATGGAATAAAAAAAATTCAGGAATTTTAGAGATCAATAAGGTTGCCGGCTTGCCCATCATGACCAAGCACCAAGCAATATCGATTGAAGAAATTGAAGTCATTAAGCAGGAAAGAAGTTGCGTTGTAAAAGAGTGCAAGAACAGAAACTGCAATAGCGGCATTGGTAGCAGAAACAGTCTCAGACCAAAATATTGTAATGACCAATGGCGCCACGACCGCACAGCCATGCGTTACTGATGCTAAAAATGTATGATAATGGTTTGAATATTTAATAATTTCTGCAATAACTAAAATCTTTGTAGTTAACATTGACGGAGCACAGGGAGTTTTAGGTCAGAATATGAATAGTGCGCAGCAAGCACGCGTACAGCAAGCAATAGATCTGTATTTTGCAACAGTTGAAAATGTAAGAAAAGTGTCCATTATAAAATAAATGAGTAATAATTCTGTAAGATGTAACTTTATTTCAGTAATGTACGCTTCCTTATCTCCTACACTATCACAGGGGTCAAAACGCAGGGTAATTGCCAGTATTCTAAATATGTCTTTCCCAGAGTTCAAATAATATACGCGTATATACGAAGCAGCAGAGATTTATGAAGATGTAGAAATATTAAAGCGGTGCTATGAGCACACAATAAAATCCCCCCAAGTATGGCCCATTAATCTTTATATGCGTCTATCAGATGTCTTTCAGTACCATAAATCAAAGGACGTTGCACTGCCTCAAATCGGTTTACAGTATATTTCACCGAAATTAATCCATTGGCGAAATTTAATTTCGACAACAAATTATGACCATATAGTCATTTGGGACTACTATCGCAGTACTGGTATATTTTAACTAAAGTAATGAGATGCATAACGAACGAGCAAAGCACGCCGCCAGAAAATAATGAAAGTTCTATTTTTGAAAAATCAGTTGGGTTGCACGCCGTAGAGCAGGTACAGGAAACTACCGAAGTTGTAAGCAGAGGTGATGAACTAGCTGTGGCTTCGGATTGCAAGATGCCTAGAACTTTTGCGACAGGAATTCAAACCTCACGTAAGTGGAGAGAGGGATAGAGTTTTAATAAGTTTTATTCGTTTTTTATTTTATTTTACTCAAAATGATTTTAGGGGCGATTGATACTTATTTTATTCTATTTCATAACAAGTTATGTTATGATCTATTATGTATGTTCTCTTATGGTATGTTACGTTATGTTGTGCTTTGCTATACTATGTTACGTTATGTTAGGCTCTCCTATGTTATGTAATTTTTTTTACCTTAACTTTTTTTAAATTTTTTTCAGAGAGACTTCTTGGAGAACATTTAAATTTCGGATTGCAAGCAACTACCCGCAACGAGCCAGTAAACTTTGAAAATCGTAAGTTTCAAATTCATATTTGTAAGTTTAACATACGAAAATCCAGTTTCACTTATTCATTTCTCTATCCGCTACTACTTTTCTGCCATGCGAAATCATCAAACAAGAAAAACTTGTGCCTCTCAACAAATTGCAATTTAATCTAGCTGAGGATGAGGAAAATTGCGAATGAGTGCAAGCACCAGATGAGATAGTTGTTTTAGACTCTTCTGCTGCTTCATGCCAGTCACAAGACATAACGCTACAAGCGCCACTATCGAATTCCGAAAATTTGGTTACACATGATGTCAATGTGTTATTCTCGAGCACCTCCATGGATATAAGTAATTTATGCAACTGGCCGCTAGCACCTACAGATAGTCAAAGTCAAAAATCGAATGAACACACTTCAGAAACGAACGGAATTTAGCGAAAATATTAATCAACAAAGCAAACAAGAGCAGCAGCAAAAAGGTCACTGTCGCAGGAGCATTGCTTGGAGGAAGTACAAATGCAGCAACAAGAGCAAGCACATTAAATTATAAAACAATCTTCATAAAAATTGCAAACAAAGCAACAAGCAGACGTGATTTCGATACAAGAAGTGCAAATACTATCGGGGCCACAACAAATAATAAATCGATTACCTTTCTTTTATATTTATTATAATATTGTTAAAATCGCTTAACTTTTTTATTTGCAACTTTTGAAAACGTCTATATATAAGTCGAAAAAACGCAATCAAATTTTGCAAACTTGTATTGAAACTGATTTTTGTGAACCAGTATAAATGATTTGTAACTGTTAATATACAGCGTGGCGACGAATAACTGTTACCCAGTTTTTTTTGAGAAATAAAAGGGTCCTTTATAAATTTTGCGAAAAAAGTATTTTATTGTTAATTTTCCACAGATTTTACTTTAGCTGTATTAGTTAGTTTTTAAATTTTAATCCTTATCTACATTTGCCAGCAGTGCAAACTTTGAGAGAAAAGTTCATTTGGCACGCAAGTCTTTTTCAGGTGTATTTTTTCTTAGGCTTTGTATAAAAAAAGTACAAAAAAGAAAAAAAACTGTATAAGGTTGGTCGAATGAATGGCCGTCCTAGTCACCAGTCCCGAGTCTATTAGATTTTTGAGTATGAGGCCTTATTTTGGACAGAAGAGGGAATATAAGGGACTCAAAATGGAGAAAATTAGCCTATGGTTACAGAAGATATGGAACAAATTAACTGACGAGGACCTGCGTGCCAAATGAACTTTTCTCTCAAAGTTTACACTGCTGGCAAATGTAAATAAGGATTAAAATTTAAAAACTAATTAATACAACTAAAGTAAAATCTGTGGAAAATTAACAATAACATACTTTTTTCGCAAAATCTATAAAGGACTCTTCTATTTCTCAAAAAAACCTGGGTAACAGTTATTCGTCGCCACGCTGTATATTAAAAGGTAAATCGATTACCTTTCTTTTGATTGTAATATTGTTAAAATTGATTAACTATTTTATAGAAATTTTGCAACTTTCGAAAACATCTATATGTAAGAAGTGAAAAAGTCGTCAAATTTTGCCAAGTTTTAACGAAACCAATTTGTTGTGAACCATTACAAATGATTTGCAACTGTTAATATAATATATATTAAAAGAAAGGTAAATTGATTACATTTCTTTTGATTGTAATATTGTTAAAATTTATTAACTATTTTATAGAAATTTTGCAACTTTTGATAACATCTATATGTAAGAAGTGAAAAAGTCGTCAAACTTTGCAAAGTTGTAACGAAACTGATATTTTGTGAACCATTACAAATGATTTGGAACTGTTAATATATATTAAAAGAAAGGTAAATCGATTACTTTTCTTTTGATTGTAATATTGTTAGAATCGATTACCTATTTTATAGAAATTTTGCAACTTTTGAAAACAGCTATATGCAAAGGAGTAGTAGTAATAATAACCCAATAAACATTGTGGCGAACGTTCGATAATGACCTTCGATATCCAATATGCATATCAAACTGAGAACGAACTCATAACCAACGTTAAATTTCCAACGTTCATAGAAATACACTCGAAATTGGTTCGAAAATAAAATAAGAACCATAGTAACAAGAGAGAAAGTTGCGTATTTTAATGCTTTTGGGAATTTTATGTTTATTATAAAGTTTCATTTTTTCAACTAAAGCGGGTCGCGCGTTTGTTTTCGGGAAAATAAAAATTGGTAACTAGCAATTTAGATAATAATATACTTTATATAAAATGAAAATTTTCAAAAAAAAATTAGACGTGAATGCAGTGAAATTGTAAGCATGCTAATGCAACCTCAACAACAACAAATGAATGTTGACGCAGAGTTCGAGCGGATTTCAATTACATTTTTTCCAGCAAGCCCAAACCCGTATAAAAAAAAGACGCTTTATCAAGAAAATAATAAAACTAGATAGCTAATAGTTAGAATAAGTATTTTTCTTTTATGTACTTAAATAACATCCTGAGGATGATCTCTTAATTTAATTAATTTGTTTTTTAATTAAGTATACTTTATTCTAATAAAAAAATTACAAAATGTTCTAAAAAAAAGTAACTATACTTAAACGTTAATCAAATATACTTTCCTTTTTTCAAAAACAAAAATGTATAACCAATATTTATTAGGCTTGGTTACAAATTGGTAAATGATTGGAAAACGAATCTCTTTTTTCTAGTCCAACCTCCGATAATGAATGTGGAAATATGTTAGTATTCGATTCGAGAACTAGGCCGTTCTCCAGCAAAACGGAACCTTCGTTATCCAACGTATTTTACCTTCGTTATGAATTCGAAATCCAGCTCATTCTCAAGGATCTCAAAGGATCAATATAAGACAATCACTCTCTCTCATTAAAATTTCCCTTCGATAATGGGCTGGATTTCGAATTCATAATGAAGGTAAAATACATTGGATAACGAAGATTCCGTTTTGCTGGAGAATAGCCTAGTTCTCGAATCGAATAGTAACCTATTTCCACATTCATTATCGAAGGTGAGACTTGAAAAAAAGATTAGTTTTCCAATCATTTTCGAATTGTTAACCGAGCCCAATGTCTATTGGGAAGCAATTAGGCTACCACATATGTATGTAAAAATATCTTTATTATTAATGTTAATTGTAATTTTTATTCATTATATTGATTACTAAATATGTATATTAGGTTAACAATGCATTTTGAAAAATAAATTTTACAAAAAAAAATAAAAAATTTTAAGATTTTTTATTTAAAGATTTTAAGGTTTTTTTGAATTTGCTGTGAAGAACATGCAACCCTGTGCTAGCTGAAGTGGGCAATGCTAGACAAGTGCAGCTATATGTTTTCCTTACGAAGGATCTGAATGAGTGCGACAGTGATGCAAGCCTCACACGTACAGGGGGGAACTGGTGAAAATTTGCACCGCCCATACAAAACTCACCAGAGTTTTCACCAGTTTTGAAGTGAATGAAACCCGCCAGATTTCACCAGACTTTTCACTACTTTTGGCTGGCAGGATAGATTTTGCTACCACATACTCTTTTTGGCCACATAAATTTAAAATTGCCCCTAGCCCTTTTTAGAATTTATTCATACTTGGCATGAAAAACTTGTATATGGGCAAATCTAAAATATAGGTACACTTTCAAAATAAAAAACTGAGGACGCCATTGAATTTAAAAGGGCTTCAATTAAGTAAGAGCAACTATCCGAATATTTGTCGAAAAAAGTTGCTTTGATACCACTCTCGAAATATTCTGACTAAAAGAAAGAGCATCATTAAAAGTAGTAAATCAGGGTTTTTACATACTTCTAGAGAAAATTTTTTTAAAGCACTTTACAGGTATATGTAATTTTATAAGGACTAGCAGTTATAGAAAGATTTAGATCGTTTCGACGTATTTTCCAAATGCGCCTTCAATTAAGTGTTTTTGAAATAAAAATTACGCTCAAGATCGCAGAATATTTTATCTTTAAAAGCTAGTTTATTCTGAAAGTACACCTCTTGCTAAGGTATCAAATTATTCGTAATTGTTTGCAGAATACAATACATACTTAAAAAGAGCTTAAATTTAAATGCTTCAAAACCTATACGCGATAAACCGAAAATTTTGAAAATTGTGAAATGTGGAGTTACAGACTTTGAGTTACTTGCCATTTCGTTATTTTTTACTGCACACTTTTCTCACCTACTACATATGAAGTGTACACATAAGTGCTAAATGCCCATTTAATTTCAAATCAGAATATGGCGTGCTTCAAAAGTTATGACATAATTAATTGTGAAGCTCTTCAAAATTACATAAAAAATTCACCTGTTTTCATTATTTTTTTTTTTTAATTTAAACACCTATAGCAGCAAATTGATCCATATTTTTTCTGAGGCGTCAAGTATACGTCAATGAATTATATCCAAAAGTAACCAGCTTGATTTAGTTTACAATAGTGAAAATAACCTAAACAACACAAAGGTTACCTGTTTTTTAGATTTGCCCATATGCTTAATTTGATCTCAAATTTTTTGTTCATTTATGTAAGAGATGAATTTTTAAACTAAAAATTACTGATATATATACATATATGTATTGTATGTTC